GGAGGTGCTGGGGACAGGGATGTGTTTCCTGATCCCATTCCCTCTTTCCCTTTCCAGGTGCCTTGGGCTGGGGAGCAAAGGGAGATGCTGGAGACAGGGATATCCTTTCTGATCCCATTCCCTCTTTCCCTTTCCAGGTGCCCTGATCTTGGAGAGCAGAGGGAGGTGCTGGGGACAGGGATGTCCTTTCTGATCCCATTCCATCCTTTCCCTTCCAGGTGCCGGCGCCTGCCCGGGCAGAGGTGGCTGTGAAGGCTGAGGGCAAAGAGCTCGTCCTGGTGCTGGAGAGGAACCAGTAAGTGCTGGGATGGGGCTGGGAAGGTGGTGTGGGGTGTTTGGGGCTGGAGATGTCCCTCTGCCCTCATGGCATTTCATGGAATCGTGGAATGGTTTGGGTTGGAAGGGACCCTAAAGACCATCCGGTCCCACCATGAGCAGGGACACCTTCCACCATCCCAGGTTGCTCCAACCTGGCCTTGGACACTCCCAGGGATCCAGGGCCAGCCATGGCTTCTCTGCCCCTTGGTGGATTCCTGTCCCTGTGGAGAGAGTTGATCTCTGCAGGAGGAGTTTCTGCTTCCACTTCTCCTTCCCACCGGCAGCTGGGGGAGCCCGTCCCGGCAGAATCCTCTTCCTGCTGCTGTTTGGGTGCAAAAGCAGCCACCACAGTGTCCCCAGAACCTTCCAGAGACCTGCAGAGGAGCTTCTGGTGTGCAGGAAGGAGAACTGGGGGATCCCCCTGCACGTTTTCGGGTCAGTGGGGGGGTTGTCGGGGGGTTGGAAACTCCTGAGCAAAGCTGAGCCCAGGGTCTTGCTGGGGCTCCAGGCCTGGAGAGCTTTGGGTGTCCTCCCATGACCCCAAGTCCTGGCTTGGTGCCAACTTTGCCAGGCTGAGGGGTGGCCAGGAGGAGGGAAGAGCATCCCTGAGGGCTGTGGGGTCTCTGGAAGGAGCAGGGAGGTTGTGGGGGATTGCAGGATGAGGGTACAGGGAAAGAGGGGAGGTGGTGGGTGGCAGCAAAAGGGAACTGGGCAACCAGGGTGGCCCAGGGCACCCAGGACCATCTGTAATACCTGGGAGCATCCGTAGCACTTGGGATCATCCATGAGACCTGGGATCATCCATAATGCCTGGGAAAGTCCATGGCACCCAGGACCATCCATGGTACCTGGGATCATCCATGATACCTGGGATCATCCATAATGCCTAGGAAAGTCCATGGCACCTGGGACCATCCATGGCACCCAGGACCATCCATGGCACTTGAGATCATCCATGATACCTGGAATCATCCATGTCACCCAGGACAATACATGGCACTCAGGATCGTCCATGGCACTTGGGATTATCCATAGTACCTGGAATCATCCATGGCACCCTCCATGGCACCCGGGATCATCCATGGCACCCAGGATCCTCCTTAGTACCTGGAATCATCTGTAGTATCTGGAGTCATCCATAGTACCCAGGATCATCCATAGCACCCGGGATCATCTATGGCACCTGGGATCATCCATGGCACTCCAGATCATCCGTAGTACCTGGAATCATCCGTAGTACCTGGGATCATCCATGACACCTGGGATCATCCATAGCACCTGGGACCATCCATGGCACCTGGGATCATCCATGCCACCTGGGACCATCCATGGTACCTGGGATCATTCATGGCACTTGGGATCATCCATGTCACCCAGGACAATCCATGGCACTTGGGATCATCCATGGCACTTGGGATCATCCATGGCACCTGGTATTATCCATAGTACCTGGAATCATCCGTAGTACCTGGAGTTATCCATAGTACCTGGCATCATCCATGGCACCCTCCATGGCACCCAGGATCATCCATGGCACCCAGGACAATCCATGACACTTGGGATCATCCATGGCACCCGGGATCATCCATGGTCCACGGCAATCCATGGCATCCAGGGTAATCCATGGCATCCATGGCAATCCATAGCACCTGGGATCATCCATGGCACTTGGGATCATCCATGGCACACAGGACAGTCTGTGACATCCAAAAGCCTCTGTGTCACCCAGGACAGTCCATGGCACCCAGAACAGTCTGTTATACCCAAGACATGACACCCAAGAACTTCCCTGGCACCCAAGAACTTCCAGGAACCAAGAACTTCCAGGAACCAAGAACTTCTCTGATCCCAGGACCATCCGTTGCACCCAAGTCAGTCCACAGCACCCAAGACACCCAAGGCTGGCTGTGGGGACAGTGTGGGGACACCAAAGCAGCCCTGACCATCCAAACTGCTCCCTTGGGGCAGGTGACAGGGCCACCTTAACCCTGGGAGCTTGTGGAGGCCGGGCTAGATCTCCCATCTTCTTTCTCCTGGTTCTGGGACACTCAGTTGGTCTCCAAATCCATCCCATGGGGTGTTTTCCTTCCCTTGTGCTGCAGGAGAAGACACATCTGTCCCCTCCTTCCCTGGGTGCCTGGAGAGGACATCCCAGTGCTCTGAGTCCCAGATCCCTGGCTCAACCATCCCAGTTCTCCTGTTCTCCAAGCACAACATGGAGGCTCCTGCCTCTCCTGTGTCCTCAGCCCACCTGTCCCTGTCCCTGTCCCCATCCCAGGGGGACAGTCTTGCCTTGCCCAACCACCCACATGTCCCCTTCCAGGAACCAGCTCGGAGCTCCTGTCTCATTTCTGGGCTGGAAGTGGAGTCACTGGTGCCAGGCACCCACTCACAGGCGGGCAGGAAAACCACAGCCGTGCCCACAGAGTCATTTCTGGGACCCGAGTGGGTGTAAAATCGAGAGCAGGAGGTGGGAGGGCTATTCCGGCACTGCCTGCCTGTTATTTTCTCCTTCTGCCGAATAAAACCTCTGGGATGGGGCCAAACCTCAACAATCGAGGGCTGAACTGACCCCAGGGGCAAACCTGGACTTTCTCCTTCTCCTTCTCCTTCTCCTTCTCCTTCTCCTTCTCCTTCTC